CCTGCAGGTCGCCAACACGCAGCGCCGCGCTGCCCTCCGGCTCACCCACCGTTGACAGGCTTCTGGTGCATGGAATCCACAAAGTGCCGTGGGTTCTCGATGGTGTATTTGAGGTCACGGATGGTGTGTGAGCCCGTGCCTTCGCTCCACATCCCTTTCTTGGCACTCTTGGCTTGCTCCTCCAGCTCTGCCAGCCGGCTCTGCTCGGAGCTGCAGGGAAGCAGACAGAGCGGCTCAGCGCCAAGCAGGACGCCGCCGGAGCATCCGTTGCTCAAGGTGCTTTTCCGGATGCTGCAGCAACCAGAGCTCCAGGTGAGGGATGGGTGATGCTGCCAGCAGCGACGTGCTGTGCATCAGAGCCCGGTGGGCACACAGGGGGAATCTCCAGCAACCACAAATCCACCTCCACGCGAGCACCGCCGCCCTCTGCACGGCGGCTGCCGTGCGCCGCAGATGGGAAGAGGTGACAGCAGGGAGCGAAGGGAAGGGTGACAGCAGGGGCAGCAGCGGGTTGGCAGCAGGGATCCCAGCCAAGGATGATGCTCAGGGCTGCCTGGGAGCATGGTGAGGTCTGGGGAACCAGGAGGCAGCAGGCTGGCAGCCCGGGGAGCAAGGCTGCGGTGAAGCGGAGTGCTGCCAAGCGCTGTTACGCTCCATTAAACAAAACCTCGGGATATTTCTGCTCTCAGATTTCTTCAGCTCCGCTGAAGAGGGCAAAGCTGCAAGCTGAGGAACACTGAGTGGCTCCAGACGGGCCTGGTGTTAAATACGTGGGGAGCAGCAGCACACGTGGGGCTCAGCCAGCACCTCCAGGCAGCCCGCAGCCCTCCCCTGCCTGCACAGAGCCCTCCTGGAGCTGCTGGTAATTAACACGTCCTTGCAATTAGGAGAGCAAACGCAGAGCAGCAGGTTGCTACAGGCAATGTTTAATTGCAGGGTGCTGAGTTCCGTGGGGTTTGTGTTACAGTGCTGGTGTTATGTGGACCCGGGGGGGGTTGGCATGTCCTGAACCCCCAGCATGGAGCAATGGGGAGAGGGGACGGAGCAGCCGAGCACTGCTATCACTGTGGGATGGTGTAGAGTGAGCACAGAGCTGGGGAATGGTTGGGGGGGTTGGGAGGGACCCTCTGGATCACAATATGGTCAGGTAGGGTTGGAAGGGACCTCGTGGATCACTGGAACATAGAATGGTTGGGTTGGGTTGGAAGGGACATCGCAGAGCTCAGAACCACAGAATGGTGGGGTTGGAAGGGACCTTATGGGATACAGAGCCATAGAATGGTTGGGTTGAGTTGGAAGGGACATTACAGAGCTGAGAATCATAGAATGGATGGGTTGAAAGGGACCTTACAGAGCTTAGAACCATAGAATGGTTGGGTTGGATGGGGTCTTATGGGACACAGAGCTATAGAGTGGTTGGGTTGGGTTGGGTTGGGTTGGAAGGGACATTACAGAGCTGAGAATCACAGAATGGTTGAGTTGGGAGGGACCTTACAGATCATAGGATGGCTGGGTTGGGTTGGAAGGAACATTATAAAGCTCAGACCACAGAATGGCTGGAATGGAAGGGTCCTTATGGGACACAGAGCCACAGAATGGTTGGGTTGAGTTGGAAGGGACATTACAGAGCTGAGAATCACAGAATGGTTGGGTTGGATAGGACCTTATAGATCATAGGGATACAGAATGGCTGGGTTGGGTTGGGAGGAACATTTCAAAGCTTAGAACCACAGAATGGTTGGGTTGGAAGAGACCTTATGGGACACAGAGCCACAGAGTGGCTGGGTTGGGATGGAAGGGACTTTATAGAACTTAGAAGCATAGAATGGCTGGGATGGAAGAGACCTTGTAGAGCACAGAGCCACAGAGTGGTTGGGTTGGAAGGGACCTTATAGATTACAGAGCACAGAGTGATTGGGTTGAGTTGGAAGGAACATTACAGAGATGAGAATCATAGAATGGTTGGGTTGGAAAGGACCTTATAGATCATAGGGATACAGAATGGCTGGGATGGAACATTATAAAGCTCAGAACCACAGAGTGGTTGTGTTGGGAGGGACTTTATGGATCACAGAGCCATAAAGTGCCTTGGGTTGGGTCGGAAGAGACACTATAGAGCTTAGAACCACAGAATGGTTGGGTTGGAAGGGATCTTACAGAGCTTAGAACCACAGAATGGTTGGGCTAGAAGGGAACTTATGGGACACAGAGCCATAGAGTGGTTGGGTTGGGATGGAAGGGACTTTATAGAACATAGAAGCATAGAATGGCTGGGATGGAAGAGACCTTGTAGAGCACAGAGCCACAGAGTGGTTGGGTTGAGTTGGAAGAAGCATTACAGAGCTGAGAATCACAGAATGGCTGGGTTGGAAAGGACCTTATAGATCATAGGGATACGGAATGGCTGGGTTGGGTTGGAAGGAACATTATAAAGTTCAGAACCACAGAGTGGTTGTGTTGGGAGGGATCTTATGGATCACAGACCCATAGAGTGGTTGGTTTGGGATGGAAGGGACTTTATAGAACTTAGAAGCATAGAATGGTTGGGTTGGAAGGGACCTTATACAGCACAGAGCCATACAGTGGCTAAGTTGAGTTGGAAGGGACATTACAGAGCTGAGAATCATAGAATGGTTGGGCTGGAAGGGTCCTCATGGGACAGAGAGCCACAGAATGGTTGGGTTGAGTTGGAAGAAACACCGGTAGCTATAGCATGACTGGGTTGGAAAGGACCTTGTAGAGCACAGAGACATAAAATGGTTGGGTTGGAAAGGACCTTGTAGAGCACAGAGACATAAAATGGTTGGG